TGGCCAAAGCGAGAACAGTTTGAGCAACAGAGCAAGTCAGTACTTTTGACTATACTTTCAGGGATCATTTCTATAGTTCGTAAAATGTAGGTTTTATTGTTATTCATGTATGGTGAAGGCTAACAGAGCAGGAGACAAGTGGGAATGGAAGACAATGTCGCACACAGTTCCTAAGAGGTGGGGCAAGCCACCCCACAGGGGCCGCACAAGAAAGCACCAGTGCAGACTGGGAGCCAGAGCGAGCAGGGGGGAAATATGGGCAGGAGCCTTTATTGTGGAGTATGGAAGGGGGAAGAGAGGGAAAAAATGTTTTCATCCAAGATGAAGGCAGAATCTTGTGTCAGAGAGTATCTCCATGATCTGATCCCACACATCTAGCCTTCAATCATTTTATACCATTTCCAGGATCTACTCCCCTTACATGAGTGAATGTGTCTTATAGAGGAACTAAGGTAACTTAAGCAGATAGAAGAATATGGTTGCAGAATCTTAGGATGATGCCAGTCTCAAGTCACGGGAATCAGATAATGCCCAAGTTCCCTCCAACAAAAATGGCCGCTTCTGGGCCATCTGCCTTCGGCTTGGGTCATGATCCCGGGGTCCTGGGATGGAGCCCCGCGTTGGGCTCCTTGCTCAGTGGGGAGCCTGCTTCTCCCTCTCCCACTCCCCCTGCTTGGACTTTGTGTGTGTCAGGTGAATAAATGGAACCTTTAAAAATATTTTTTTAAAAATGGCCACTTCTCGGGCGCCTGGGTGGCTCAGATGGTTGAGCGTCTGCCTTCGGCTCGGGTCATGATCCCGGGATCCTGGGATCGAGTCCCACATCGGGCTCCCTGCTCCTTGGGAGCCTGCTTCTCCCTCTGCCTCTCTCTCTCTCTCTCTCTCTCTCTGTCTCTCATGAATAAATAAATAGTTAAAAAAAAATAAAAAAAATAAAAATGGCCACTTCTCCCAAATCTCTTCCTCACATCACAGAACATTTTCTGACTATATTTTTTTACCAATGGACTTTCTTACTCTCTTTGTTCACTCACAAGAAATAGTACAGGTATTCTAAAGCAATTAGTTCGGGCAATTTAGAGAATAAAAAGAAAATCATTATGCAAATACATATTAACAGTCATTCAACCTTGAAAAGCATTGTTGCTTCAATGAAAGGGGATGCTAGATTCATGTTTTCCGCCTCAGTTGTTAACATTCCTTGTAATTAATGTCAGACCTCTGAATGGTGATCTTATTCCTCACTAAATGGTTATTATTCTACCAACTGCCTTTATGACTAAGAGCCCTCCAGCTATCTTTCCCAGTCACATCATTCCCTCTCTGTCCTTCCACTACTACTTTCTTTGGCGGAGAGAAACCCCCACGTGGTCCCCTGGCTTCAGGAAAGCCATTTTCCACCTGAACACACAATCAGTGGAAGCAGAGAATCCAGGAACAGTAAGTACCAAGCAAAAGATTTTCTCTTCTTTGTATTATCTTTCTTTCTTTCTTTTTTTAAGATTTCGTTTATTTATTTGAGAGAGAGAGAGCAAGAACGAGAGCCAGAGAGCACAAGTGGGGTGAAGGGCAGGGGGAAAAGCAGACTCCCTGCCGAGCTGGGAGTCCAATGTGGGGCTTGATCCCGATCCCGGGACTCCGGAATCATGACGTGAGCTGAAAGCAGATGCTTAACCTACTGAGCCACCCAGGCACCCCTCTTCTTTGTATTTTCAAAGAGGAGTCCCCAACCCTTTTGTGTAAAAGAGCTGGCTAGTGATTTTCCTAAAGCCTCGCAGTGTCTAAAGTGTTAAGGGTGAGGACTAAGCTTCTGCCTCTACCCCTTCTCACTAGAAATGCCACATGCTTGGCTGTGGCCTTTCTTTGAATCTGGTGGGAATCCCTGCCCCACAGAGCCTGAAGGAAAGAAAGATCAAGCACTTTGTGACTGTCATTTAAATTTAGAATTGAGGTATTCTGCCCTGCCAATTGTGGCTCAAATGTAAATGTAAACAACTGAAAAATCAATTGGCTTAGTATAAGATCACAAGCAGTGTAGCTTTGGTAATTCATCAAGAGAGATTTATGCTCAATTGAGGCAATGGGTTGCAAAGGCGTATTTTTTTAGAGACACAATTTTTATGACAATTGAGTTCTTTGGGGGAGGCTCTGCATTTAGGCAGACAGTGGAGTTCAGGGGGAAAAATGCCTATTCTCAAATGCCTTCAGCTCAAAATACTTTTTGTTCTGCAGTGGCTACTATGGACCCCATCAGCCTTATTCCAACGAGAGGCTGCTTGCTGATAATAAGACTCAACTGAGTGTTATGTTGTGATTGCTGCTGGTGCTCACCACCAACCCTTTCCCCACTAATCTTTGGAATCCACACCCCTCAAGCTGCTATTCCCAGTACCACACCTTACAGTTTCAAGAACCACCTTTCTCTGACATGCGTATTCTGGTCCTGCCCCTACCCACTGCTGCTCAGGAACCACTGTGGTCTCCACTCCTGAAGCCCATGTTGCTAAATCCCCAAATGTAGGTTAGAATTCTTTCACCTGAAGTATGACCTCATTCTCCGGAGAGAGAGCGCCCCCTGTTGAGAGGTTTGGACCAAGTCATTAGGTTGCAAGACTCCCAACTCATGGGGCATCTGGGTGGCTCAGTTGGTTAAGCCAGGCTATGATCTCAGGGTGCTGGGATCGAGTTGGCTGTCCGCTCAGAGGGTAGTTTGCTTCCCCCGCACCTGCCGCCCCATGCACCCCGTACCCCCTTGCCCCCCACCCCCCTCCACGCTCATGCTCACTCTCTCTCAAACTAAAAAAAAAAAAAAAGAATCCAACTCAAACTAGCTTAAAACAAAAACAATCACTGGCTTACATGATGGCAAGTGGGGGGGCGGTGTGGTTAGATGGCCTTAGCCACAATATTCTAATTCACATGACTTCTCTCCTCTCCACTTTCTGACTTTGCTTCTTTAAACTCTTGGCCTTCCTTCTTTTAACTCTTCCTTTGGCTGATATAGGCTATCTGGGGGCACATCCTTAGGTCCTCAGAATAGAAGAGTTTCTTAGTTTATAAATCCCCAGAGGAGGATTCGGCTTGGTTCTAATTGAATCCACTTACTCATCCTTGAACCAATCCCTGTGGGAGGGATTCTTTGATTGGCAGCCCCAGGAGGACCGAAAGGAGTGGGGGTCGTTTCTAAGAAACAGGAATCTTGTCAGACAAAAATAGCAGATGTTTCCCTCAACAATATATTGATAAATACCAGAACTCTTATAAAAAGACACATAACCTAAAAATTGTCAAAGGTGGGGTGCCTGGGTGGCTCAGTCGGTGGAGAGTCTGCCTTCAGCTCCTGGGATCAAGCCCACATCAGGCTCCCGGCTCAGCGGAGAGCCTGCTTCTCCCTCTCCCTCTGCTACTCCCCCTACTTGTATGCTCTCTCTCTATCAAATAAATAAAATCTTAAAAAAAATTGGCAAAGGACTTGGATAGACATTTCTCCAAAGATATACAAATGGTCAATAAGTCAAGATGCTCAATATCATTAGGTATGATATGCAAATCAAAACCACAAGATACTACTTCACACCCACTAAGATGGCTATAATCAGATAATAACAAAGATGTGGAGAAATCTGAATGAATCCTCATACAATTTTTGGTGGGAGTGTAAAATGGGGCAGCCACTGTGGAAAACAGGCAATTCTTCACATGGCTTAACATAGTTAACATATATATATATGTATATATATGAAAGAGATGAAAATATGTCTGCACAAAAAACTTATACATGAACATTCATAGTGGCATTACTTATAGTAGCCAAAAATTAGACAACTTTTTGATGAATGGGTGAACAAAATGTGGTATACCACACAGTGCAGTATTATTCAGCTATAAAAAGAAATGACGTAGATACAGGCAAAATATGGATAAACCCTGAAGACATTATGCTAAGTGAAAGAAGCTAATCACAAAAGACCACATAAACATGCCATTTATACTAAATGCCCAGAATCTGTAAATCTATAGAGACAAAGATTAGTGGTTGGGTAGGGCTGGAGGAGTTGAGTGGATTCAGGCGATAACTTAAATAGAGTTTCTTTTTGGAGTGGTTAAGATATTCTCAAATCGATTATGGTGATGTTGCACAACTCTGTAAATATACTAAAAACCATTGAATGAGCGCTTTATATGGGTAGAGTATATGATGTGTGAATAATATACCAATAAATAGCCAACCAGTGTTCCTTCTATATGTCCTGCTCCCTCCTTTGGGGTCTCTGAGCCATGGGGAAAGCTCCATCTGAAGCTAGACCGACAGTTCCAATCCTGCTTCTATTTCCTTAAGAGTTAACTCCTTCCTCGATAGTACCATGGGCATGATGATCCCTGCCTGGGAAGGTTATGATTTTTAAAATATACACTAGGGTTAATAATGTACAGTATCTGATACACAGCTGACGCTCAATAAACACTACTGTGAATGTGTACAGCAATGCATATGTATATAGACAAGAACATGGGGGCTGTTGGGGAGATATTTTCCTATCCGTGGTCTCAGCCCTCGCTGCCCCTGTCTCTCAAGCTCTGGGACATTGAGGCATCGGCGCAGCGCACGAACCCCGGTGCCAAGGAAAAGTCCCGCATCCCGGGCCGAGCAACGGCAATGAACGGGCTCGAAAGGTGTCCAGAGGCCGCCCTACCGAGCAGAGAGCGATGCCACGTAATCGTGGGGGAACCGGAACGCAAAAACACAGGTTAGGTTACCCGGGACTGAGAGCCCAACCAACCACTCGCCGCCTCGCCGCGAGCGGAGAACAATGCGCTCAGTCCGGCGCGCGGAAGCTCGCGGTGCCGTTCCCGGAGGCGGGCCGGGCCCGGGGCCTGCTGGGAAATGCAGTGTCTGAAGCTCTCCCACTCTACCCCACTGCTTTTCGGAGCGAGCCCAGTGCAACTACAAGTCCCATCACGCCCCGCGAGGTCTTGATCGCCCGGCTTTTGCAGGGAAAGGAGTGGGGCGAACATGGCTGAAGGCAGCCGGGGCGGCCCAACGTGCCGCGGGATGGACTGCGCGCAGGACCCGGTCTCCAGCAGTGGGAACTGCAACTTTCCAGAGTACGAGCTTCCCGAGCTAAACACGCGCGCTTTCCATGTGGGCGCTTTCGGGGAGCTGTGGCGTGGCCGGTTGCGCCGGGAAGGGGACTTGTCGCTGAAGGAGCCACAGGCATCCGCGTTGCCTGGGAGCCAAGGGGTCGCCGACTGGGGCCAGGAGGATGCTGCGGTGGCCCGGGATCTGGGCTGCAGCTTGGAGGCAGCAGCGGAGCTGCGGACGGTGTGCGGGTGAGTGCGGGGCCGAGGGGCTCTTGCTGTTTCGAGCTAACCTGGGTGCAGCCTTGCTCCTGCGCTCCCCTGGGATTCATCCTTGGGAGGGCCTGTGGTTTACTCCCAGGGGTAGGAGGACCGGTCTTCCAAAGCTTTCAACCTGCTCGAGCTTTCCTGGAATCCCGGGAGAAGTCCCGTGATCGGAATGCATAATTTCGGCGAGTTGGAGTGAAGGGGACGAGAAAGCTGCATGAAAGATTAATTTTTATATTGGTTAATTTTTTTAAGTGCTTGTTAATGTTGAAAAGCAGTCATGTGTAGCTGCCATTGACAAGACACTTTGACAATGGAGGAGCCTTAGTAATGACGAGGCTGGAAGGAGATTTAAGGAGAGGAGTGTTAAAACCTTTGATTAATTGTGGTTCTTTTCGGAGGACCTCCAAGTATGCTGTTACCGAAAATTTCCCCCAAAGTGCCTTTTATGGGGTGAAAATATTTTTTAAAAAAACTTTTAACGATTCCTTTCTCCGTTTAACAGTATGGGCCACCATACATCAATCGGCCATGTATCCTTTTCTCTGTAGGAAAACCGCACTGATGTCATTGTCTTGAATTCGGGCCTCCTGTGAATCCCGCCTGCTGGATTTTATCTGACTTAATTGCTTAATGATGTATTTAGGACACAACCCTGACTTGCTGTGATCAAGATGGGTGATTGCTTTTCCTTTGTTTATGTTTTAGCCTTGATAAACTGAAGTGCCTTGAGGAGGGTGAGGATCCAGATGTCGTCCCAGAGAATACCGACCTAGTGACTTTGGGGTATGGAAGACTTTACTTTTATTATGTGGTACTTATTTAAATGTTTTTCCAACATTATATTGGAAAAATACTTATTGTTATCACCCCACCCCCTAAATACAACCATTAACATTCGGCTGAATTTGCTTTAGTTCTGTGTGTTTGAGATACCTGCTGCAAGTCTTTTTCTGTTGCTGAACCATTCACTAAGTTTCAGACATCGTAATTTAGACCTGAATACATCAGCATATAGCTCCCCTAAGGATCATTCTCCTTCGTAATCAGAGGAGTATGATTGCACCTAGGAAAATTAGCAGTAAATGCATAACCTCTGGGGCGCCTGGGTGGCTTAGTCGTTAAGCGTCTGCCTTCGGCTCAGGTCATGATTCCAGGGTCCTGGGATCAAGTCCCACATCCGGCTCCCTGCTCAGCAGGGAGTCCGCCTCTCCCTCTGCCTGCTGTGTTCTTTCTCTCCTCTCTCTCTGACAAATAAATAAACAAAATCTTTAAAAAACATACCCCTAATGTCCGGTCTGTATTCAGATTTATTTTTTTGTTTATTTTTATTTTTTAATTTTTTAAAGATTTTATTTATTTATCTGACAGAGAGACAGCGAGAGAGGGAACACAAGCAAGGGGGAGTGGGAGAGGGAGAAGCAGGCTTCCCAGTGAGCAGGGAGCCCGATGTGGGACTCGATCCCAGGACCCTGGGATCCTGACCTGAGCTGAAGGCAGACGCTTGAGGACTGAGCCACCCAGGCGCCCCTTGTGTTTATTTTTAAGTAAGTGTGTTTACAAAGGTACAATTAATCTGCTTAGATTCCAGTGCAAGCTGAATACTGATAGTGTCTTTCAAACTGTTTTCTTTTGTTTTCAACTTTTAATTTTTGACAGTCAGTCATATTTTTGTGAAATAGGATACCAATGAATTACTAGGAAAATAGGATTAAAAGACAAATGCAATAATAAAAGTCCTTTATTTTAGAACAGAGGTTATTATTTTTTTTTGAAGATTAAAAAGACTTTATTAAAGATAACTTCCCCCCCAAACTTCCAGATTTCCAGGATGCTTTTTATTTTTTCATTATTTGAAGTATACCAGTGTCTTGATTTTTTTTTGGAGAGCATTTGTGCAGGGGTGGGTGGGGTGCAAAGGGAGAGGGAGAGAGAGAATCCTAAGCAGTCTCCACACTCAGGACGGAGAGCTGGAGCTCGATCTCACGACCCTGAGGTTCTGACCTGAACTGAAATCAAGAGTTGGCTGCTCAACTGACTGAACCACCCAGGTGCCCCTTGAATTTGTTTCTATTGAAGTATAGTTGACATAAAATGCTTCATTAGTTTCAGGTGTATGGCATAGTGATCTGACAGCTCTATATGTTCAGTGCTTACCGCAAGTGTAGCTACCATCTGTCACCACACAAGGCTATTGATAATACCAGTCACGTTACCACTGACTGTATTCCCTATGTTGTCCCATTATCCCCAGGACTGACTTATTCCACAACTGGAAACCTATACCTGTCACTCTCCTTTACCCATTTGCCTCTCTCCCCACCTTTCCTGGCAGCCATCAGTTTGTTCTCTGTATTTATGGGGCTGTTCTCTGCTTTTTGGTATGCTTGTTTGTTTTCCTTTTTTAAATTCCACATATCAGTGAAATTATACAGTATTTGTCTTCCTCTGTCTGATTATTTCACTTAGCATAATACCTTCTAGGTCCATTCATGTTACTGCAGTGGGCAAGATCTCATTCTTTTTTATGGCTGAGTAATACTCCATTACACACACCACATCTTTATCCATTCGTCTATCCATGGACACCTGAGTTGCTTCCGTATCTTGGCTACTGTAAATAATGCCCTAGTAAACCCAGGGATGCATTTATCTTTTGGAATTAGTGTTTTTGTTTTCTTTGGGTTTTGTTTTGTTTTCCTAGTCATGGAATTACTGGATCATACGGTATTTATAGTTTTATATTTCTCAAGAAACTTCATACTGTTTTCTACAGTGGCTGCACCAATTTAATTCCTACCAAGCGTGCTCAAGGATTCCTTTTTCTTTATATCTTCGCCAACACTTGTTATTTCTTGTCTTTTTGATTCTAGCCATTCTGACTAATTTGAGATATTTCTTGGTGGTTTTGATTGGCATTTCCCTGATGATTAGTGATGTTGATCTTTTCATATGTCTGGCCATCTGTATGTCTTCTTTGGAGAAATGTCTATTCAGGCCCTCTGGTATAGTCCCAATAGTTTATTTTGTGTGTGGTTTTTTAAAAAAGATGTTATTTTATTTATTTGTCAGAGAGAGAACGTGCACAGGCAGGGAGAGTGGCAGGCAGAGGGAGAAGCAGGCTCCCCACTGAGCAGGGAGCCCGATGTGGGACTCGATCCTAGGACCCTGGGATCATGCCCTGAGCTGAAGGCAGATGCTTAACCAACTGAGCCACCCAGGCGTCCCATCCCTTGCCTGAGGAGACGTCTTGAAAAATATCGCTAAGACTGATGTCTAAGAGATTATTGCCTATGTTTCCTTCTAGGCATTTTATGTTTCAGGTCTCACGTTTAGGTGTTTAATCCATTATTGAGTCTATTTTTTGTGTGTGGTGTGAAATAGTGGTTCAGTTTCATTTCTTTGAATGTAGCTGTCCAGTTTTCCCAACACCATTTGTTGAAGAGACTGGCTTTTCCCCATTGTATATTCTTGCCTCCTTCATAGAGTAATTGTGTAAGCGTGGGTTTATTTCTGGGCTTGGTCTATGTGTCTGGTTTTGTGCCAGTATGATATTCTTTGATTACTACAGCTTTGTGGTATATCTTGAAATCTGGGATTGTGATACATCCATCTTTCTTCTTTCTCAAGATGGCTGTGACTGTTCTGGGTCTTTTGTGGTTTCATACAAATTTTTATATTCTAGTTCTGTGAAAAATGCTGTTAGTATTTTGATAGGGATTTCCTTGAATCTGTAAGTTGTTTTGGGTAGTATGGATATTTTACCAATATTCTTCCAATCCATGAGCATGCGGTATCTGTCCATTTGTGTTGTCTTCAGTTTCTTTAACAGTGTTTATAGTTTTCAGAGTACAGGTCTTTCACCTCCTTGGTTGAGTTTATTCCTTAGTGTTTTATTCTTCTGGTGCAATTGTAAATGGAATTGCTTTTTAAAAAAATTTTTCTTTATGCTACTTTATTATTAGTGTATAGAGATGCAATCAATTTCTGTACATTAATTTTGTGTTGTGCAACTTTATTACCTCCAATTACATTTTATTATTAAATTCAATAGTAAAATTACTATTCATATTCATACTACTACTTCATATTGCTGTGACTGTTTCTAAATGTTTACTCTCATTGTCTGTACTGATTGAATAACAAATAGCTCTCAGATCAGTGTTGGTCTGCCAGTCACACTTTGAGAAACACTATGCTGTGATAGTAGTGTAGAGAAAATGTGTAATGGTGACATTTATAATTTCTAGTTTATAGCCCACTTACTTCATACCACCTCATCTTTTTAAATCCTTGATCCTACCCTTTGTGTTGTTCCCTTTGAAAATTTAGGCGTTTCAATTCCACCTTGGTTGCTTATTTATTTATTTATTTTTATTAAAAAAAATTTTTTTTTTATATCCACCTTGGTTTCTTTTATAATAGCTGCCAAATTTGTTTTCCTTATCCCCACTGCTTATGTTTACATTAGTGATAACTTTGAGCACCGTGAACACCTCCCATCTCTCCTAGGTCCGGTTTTTTCCTCTTCTGATTTATTCATCTCTGCTACTACCTGAGCATGCTCATTTTTTTTTTTAAGATTTTATTTATTTATTTGAGGGAGAGAGAATGAGAGAGAGCACGAGAGGGAAGAGGGTCAGAGGGAGAAGCAGACTCCCTGCTGAGCAGGGAGCCCGATGCGGGACTCGATCCCGGGACTCCAGGATCATGACCTGAGCCGAAGGCAGTCGCTTAACCAACTGAGCCACCCAGGCGCCCCTCCGGATTTATTTTCAACCACTTTCTCTTTCAGATGGCTCAGGAGGCCCCTCTCCCATCTAAAACGCCATTATTTGAGGCCATAAGATTCCTTTCCTCATTACTACAACCTATCTCTTCCCTTAGGAAATATATTCACTTACAATGTCCAGAACTCAAATTGTAATATTTCTAAAGTTTTTGAAGTCTCATTGAGAGTCAAGACCCCTTCATCTTTGTATTGCCCTTAAGCCTATTGCACTGTTTCGTTTCCCTTGGTGCTCTTTAACTACCATTGATTGATGGGTTGGATATTTCTAAAATGCACATCTGGTTGTGTCTCTCTTAAAACCTTTCACTGGCGCTTAGACAAGTACTGAGTTACTTGGTGGTTCACAGGGGCCTCTATAGAATGGATCTTGCAGATCTTTTCAGTTCTATGTCTGCAATGCTTCAGCCACACTACAGTTTTCAGTTTCTGGAATGTGCGCTCACTCCAGGTCTTTGCCTAGAACTCTCACGCCTCCTTATACTTCTGGGTCTTGCTGACTTCCACTCATCCTTCCAGGACTGAAGGACTATGGACTCCCCTTTAGGCCCCATTGTAGCTCCCTGTACTTCCCTTTTGAAATACTCATCACGCTTATGATATACTTGTTTAATTTTCTGTCTTCCTAGCTAGACTTAAAAGTTCCATGAGCTATGTTTGTCGTACACACTGTTGTATCCCCAGTTCCTGGAACTTTGGCACATAATAGGAAGTCAGTAGATATTTGTAGAGTGAGTAGAATTAAGTGAAACTTTCATAAACTTGAGAAAGTAGTTTTTAGCAATTCACTGAAAAAAGATTATTTTTTTTTAAAGATTTCCTTATTTATTTTTGAGGGGAGGGGCAGGAGGAGAGGGAGAGAGAATCTTAAGCAGACTCCCCACTGAGCGCATGGAGCCTGTCGTGGGGCTCGGTCCCAGGACCCTGAGATCAAGACCTGAGCCAAAACCAAGAGTTGGACACCTAACCAACTGCGCCACCTAGGTGCCTCGAGATT